AAGAGGTGGGTCCCGCAATGTAAGAACCATCTTCCTTAGTAGTGGCCATGGTCAAGTCACACACCAAAAGACGTTCCTTTTTCTCTTCGTCTCCATTGCTAATAGTCAGACATTAACGTGACTTACTGAAACACCCATTTTCTCTCCTCTCTCTCTCTAGAAATCTCTTTTGCTTCAAGCTTTTATTTTCCCCACTCTCGTCTTCTTCTTCTTTACTCATAATCTCTGTGTTCTAAGAAAGGAGAAATTTTGGATTTGGAGCTTAAGCAAAACAAAGAAGATCGCAACAATCCAGAATTGGTGAAGGAGAATTCTACTTATACTTCGATCCAGTCAGTTTTTCTTCTTCTACGGAGGTAAAAAGAAGAAACTTTGAGTGAACAATGGAGATTTGTTTGTTCTGTTCTTGGGATTGTTATGCAATTGATTAGCTTCTGGGTTCCTTTTCTTGTGACCAAATTATGCTTTTTGTTTGTTCCAATTCCCCAATGGAGCATAAGCAGTTCCTAATTTCATAGTTCATAGACTCTGAATTTGGTTTTGGATACAGGAAGTGATACAGAGAATTTTAGTTTCTAGGTCAAATCCTGAGTAAATTTCCTCCCTTTCTACTTTTTTCTTCTTCTCCCTTTAACTTGAATTGGGTGTTTAATCCTTAATTGAAAACCACCATCAAAATTTAGCTTGATTCAATTAATGGGTATATCTAAAAATTCAGGCTTTCTTTGATTGGTAGTATTTGTGTAGGGTTCTTCTTAGCTTCTTTTTAATCTCTTTTAGGTAAGAGATTAGGTATATATTTAAAAACCTTTACTTTTCAGCAAATTTAGCTTTGTAGCATTAAGGGTCTCAAATTTGGCTTTTGTTTGAAACAGTAGCACCATTTTTGGGGTTCTTCATGATTTTGTGATTTTGTCAAATATTACTCAAATACAATGGTTTTGAAGATGTCATCTATCCAAAAGTTGCTAACTTTAGCTAAACTCTTGTATTTATCTTTTGTGATTTCTGCACTTGAAGAGTTCTGTTCTCACTTATTCTGTTCATGTTTGTCTTTCAGATCTTTGCAAGTGTTCTTGCGTGTACTTCAAATTCGTATAATTGGATGGGGCATTGAGTTTTTGCTCGGCTTTGATTTTAAGTTAATGAGCGGAACAATGGGGAGTGATACTTCTGATGATCAGAAGGATGATCCTGAGCTTGAAGATTCATTGAGCATTGAAGAGAATCTGTCTGGGGAAAATGATTTGTTGAAGTCAGGGAACTTGCTGAGCCAGAAAAGACAGCAATGTAGTGTAGTTTCAAACAGCGGAAAGTGGTTACAGATTGTTAAAAACGGTCCCAAAGGTTCATTTTCTCGTGCCACTAGTTTCTTCGATAACAGGATCCCAAGGCATTTGGTGTCACTAGACGAGAAGTATCTGCGTCGATGCCTCGACTCGATTACTATCAGCGCATTTAAGTCAGCCAGTTGCAGTCTTTCTATGAATCTTGTAGGATCAAAGATTGGTTTTTCGTCATCCTACTTTGACTTACCTGTGCTCCCCAAAGAAAATATTGCCCGTCTTGTGTTTGATCTTCCGTTGGTAGATGAATCTGGCAGTATAGTGATTAGTCCCTCGATTACAGGTTGCAAGAGGGTTACACGTATGCTTGATAAGCCTTTGTTGCACAACCTCGAAGCATTGGATGGTGATGACGGGGATAGAGGGACAAGGCAAGACTGTAATGGTGAAAAAGGTTTGGTTTCATCTGATGTTCTGAGGAAGATAGAGGAAAACTACACGCTGGATTCGCAGTTTCAGAGTTATGAATCTGGAAATATTCCCAAAAGCGGGGTCTCTTTATCGAGCACAAACTCAAGAAG